ATATGTATATATATATATAGATATATCTATATCCATAAAGAAAATCGCTCAATTGTGCAACTGGCTGCGTGGCAGGTAATACAAAGTTAGCTGTAAATGTGATCTAGCTAGACGAAAAACTGTGTCAACTGAGGCAGCAGCAGCAGCAGCAGCAGGAGATGCGTGCCACCATATGTTGCAAGCAAGCAAAACTGGATGCTAAAGTGCCAGATACAACCAAGCGACAGCTACAAGCAGCACACAGATACACACACACACACACACACACTCACACACACACAGACAACAGATCGAGGTTCTGCAACTCGAAACTTGGTTTTGGTTTTCCGTTTGTTGTTGTTGTCTCGGGGTGAAATCTGGTTTTCAGTTGACTTTTAGCTGGCAGCTTAAAGTTGTTTTATTTTATTTATTTTTTTCTCTCCTTAGCGCTTTTGCATTTGCATTTTGTGTTGAATCATCCATCGATGCCAGGCGCGTATCTTGCAGATACTTTTTATTTATTTTTCTGTTTTTTTTTTTTTTTTGGGTCTTTGGACTCGCAAATTTGACACTCACTTACGGCAACCGGTTTCGGTTTCGGTTTAGCAGTTCAGTGTCAGGCGCCATTGAAACGCAAACGCGAACGCAATTAGCCAAAAGTGCCATAATTAATATGAAAGACACGCATCTAATGATGATCCTAAATGAATTACGCATTTGATTTACGAGCCGGCTTTAAGCCAAAATTTATGATAACATGGCCAAAAAAGCACTTAAGTGTTCGAGCGCTACGTTTTTAACCTCAAGATACAAAATGCGAAAGTGAAAGTGGCCGAAAACTTGCACTCCAAACACACACACACACACACACACACACACACGCTCGAACAGCTGTCTGTCCTCAATTCAGGCAGCAGCTCAAACTCTGTCTAAGTACATATGTAACTGTATCTGTATCTGTATCTGTATCTTTAGCTGGCTTTGTCTTTGTATCTGCATCTGTATCTGTATCTGCATCTGCATTTGTATCTGTATCTGTGTCTGTTAAAGTGATTTTTATTGCTGGGCACACTGTGTTTTCTTTGCTCTTTTGTTTCGCATGCTTCAAAATCAAAATTAAATCCTATGAAAACAAGAGTGTGCCCCCGGATACCCGACTAAAAGATGCCCTGTATCGGAATGTAAAGAATTTATATTGATAAAAATCATATATGAACACACACAAGCGCTTCATCTCTTTTTCTCAATCCCTACACTCTTCGAAAAATCTTTTCTGAAATCAGAATGCACAAAATAAACATTCATAGAAACTTTCTTTCCTCTGTACAATCTTTGAAAAATCTATTCACAAAAAACTTCTGTGTTTATTCTGCAATTGTTATGAAATCTTTAGGACGGCAAGATTTATATTTAATTGTGAATATAAGTATATAAAAACTCTAAAGTCTAGATATTCAGATAGACGTACTAGGCTAAATATCAGCAGCTCCTTGTTTGTCGCCAATATATGTAAACTGTATGAGCTTGAAAAAACCTTCTTCCGCTTAGAAACAAGGGTATATTACCTTTTTAAGCATTCTCAGTAGCTACAGGGTATGCAAAACACAACAAGCCAACGTTTTATATGTAGCTGCTGCGGTGTTCGGGCAACGTGAGTTCAGCATCACGTTTCCTTTTTATTGCCTGCTGTTTTATTTTCTTATTTTATTTTTATTAAGTATCACAGTTGTTGTTTTCCAGTTTTCATTTGGGGCTGTTGTAATTTTTGTTGTTGTTATTTAATGATTTAAAGATTATGCACGCTCTGCCGGCCACACGGCCAAGCGGACAAACGGACAATCGGACCAATGTCTGCCCTTTTACAAAGCTCCACAAACTTCAGTTTTCAGCTCCTGACGGCCCCTGACACAACTTTCGCTTTTTTACACCTTTACTGGCCTTTTTTCTCGCTGCCACAGAAAAAAAAAGGTAAATCTGAGAGAGAGATATAAAAAAAAAAAATGGTGTAAGAGCATGTTAATTTGAAGCGAAGGTTGAAGGCGTTAAAATTGCAGATAAAAGTCGCGGTTTGCCGGCTTCAGATCCGTTTTGTTTGGCCAGAGATTTTCGTTTGGCTGTCGGAGGCTGAGAGTAGAGTATTTTAAGCTGTAACACTTAATGCGGCATAAGTGAAAAATGATTTAAGGTAAATAATTCATGAGCTGCTTTTCAAATTCAACGAGAGCCGATTTGGCGTTGCTTGTTTTCAGCAAAAACTTTGACAAAGAGTCGCAAACTAATTGGCAAGTATCCTGTAAAAACCAGCCAGGAGCAGGGAGTATCGATACTAGTTGTGAAATCATGTTCTCTACAGTCCGTATACTCCCATTCGCACTAGCTAAACAGGGCATCCGAATGCATCTCTTGGTCATACGAGCGCAAATTGTATTCACAAATCATCTCGAATGACGCACAACAACAATTCGCTCGTATAAACAATTTAACCTATTTTTAATGCACTTCAACTCATAAATATGTGCAATTATTAAGGCTCAGAGACACGCCTCAGAGTCTAAATGCGTTTGACGATCAATAAACAATTTGGCCCGACAAAGTATTGCAATTATACAATAGATAAAGCAAAATTATAAATTCAGCAACACGATTTGTTCTTGACTCAACTGGAAACTCGTCAAATGTCAAACGTGCAAATGGGTTTGCGATATCTCCATAATAAACTAAGTAATGGGAGACAACAAGTCTCAAGTCCGGCGCATCCAGCCAAATACAGAGATACAGATACAGCCGGAGAAAATACAGATACAGATACAGGTACAGGTACAGATACATTTACAGATACAGATGCAAAATTTGTGCAGTCGTGTGAAAAACTGGTTATGCGATTCTCGAGCAACGATAGATAAATGTTTATAGTAATAAATGCGTGGGAAAAATACTAAAAACCATATAAAGCAGCTTTATGGCATATATCTAAATCTAGCTCTCTTTCTCTATCTCTCTCTCTCTCTCTCTTTGTTTTTTCTCGGACTAACAAGTACAATAAAAATCGCCAGTCAGCGCATAGTGAGAACAAAAGCCGCACAACAAAGCACACACACACACACACACACACACACGAAAAGCACTTACACACACTTTTGGTACCTGGGCAAAACTGTGATTTAAGATCTGCAATTAGAGATAAACCAAAACTCATTATAATCAAAATGAGTTATAGAAAGGACGGCGAGACAGAGACAAAAAAACAGCGTACACTGCGATAAAATATTGCCAAACAATTTAAAACGATTTTTTTTTTATACAAAAAAAAAACCTAAAGTTGAGAAAAGTTAAGTTAAAACCAAAATTGAAAACTAAGAAAAAACAAAAATGAAAGGCAAGCTGCAGCGAACCTGGGTCTACTGTTTGTCAGTGAGGCGCCTGGTTACTGAGCCATTCAAGGGATGAAGAGAGGTTGAGAGAGATAGTGATAGAGAGAGAGAGATAGTGATAGAGAGAGAGAGAGAGTGCGATAGAGAGACCACATTAACAGGAAAGAAGAATTTTAGTTCTAAATGAAGCAATCTAGAGTTAATCTCAATCAATTGTAAATCTGAATTTCCGCCCAAAACTCAACTTTAATATTGAGCTAAACTTTTTCTTGCCGTGTAACAGGCATACAAAAAAAAAAACACAGAAAATAATAATTATGGCCACGTGAACTCTTGACAACAACTTGTAAATTGGAGCTCATGTTTTTGTTTTCTATTTCTTGGAAACGCTGTCAACTCTCCAAGATTAATTTAACACCAACGAAAAAATTTTTGATGACCTGGGTCGCTTCTAGGCCGGCGACTAGCCTGGGCCGCAGAGAGTCAAATCAAGCAAGAAATTTGTTACCGACATTAAAATTACCATCATTATAATGTCTGTTGTCCGATGTCTGTTGTCTGCCTGCCTGGTCCCAGTCTGTGGACGGCGTCTAACACGAAGCAGGAAGACGCATGGCCGGCAAAACGGTAAGCGGCAAGTGGCAGCAAATGCTGCACAAAAAGGCAAAAAGCGATGTGCGGTAATAGAAAATGTCGAAATAGACATGAGCAACAGCCACAGCAACAACAACAATAATAACAATGAGAGCTGCAAAAGCGGAGGCAAAACTAAAAGCAAACATGAAACATGATAGAGTATGCTATTAAACGGCAACACACATGCAATACCCTGTAATTTGATGACTAGTTACAAATATAAACTAAATATTGATAGCTCAACAATAACGAAATATATGCCACGTAAAGCAATACCCTGTAATTTGATGCTAAGCTAAATATCATTGATATGAACAATTGTTGAAAGCTCAAAGCAAATAATAAGCTGAACTATGGCTATAATTAAATATTATTTACGCTACATAACGTATTATAAGTCACGTAGCGTAACGTATCGCGCGACACATAACGTATCATTTTATGGATAATACGAATCATATATAGATTATCCGAACTACAAGTCAGTGAATAAATTATTGTAGATCAAATTAACATAACAAGCATCACGTCACAGACATCACGTAAAGTGCGTCGTTTAACGTTGATCACGTAACGTAACTTAACGATATTATAACATTTTTTAAGTGGCTTACTTAATTAAGCTTTGCTATAAATGAAAATAAATAGTTCGAGCAATTTTTGGAGGTTTTTGCCTGTCGCTAGATCTAACGTAAACAATCTTCATAAATTATTACGTAACGTTACGTAAAGTAAATAGTTACATAACGTATTAAATCAAATAACAGCCAAAGCTTATGCAAATTGTCGCTCTCAAACTGGCACATACAGCCCCATTCAGCAGTTTCTACAGGGTATATGGCTGAAACACGAGCGCTTGAATGGAAATGAAAATGGGCTTTACAGTGATCGATGATGCCAGAGGTGAGAGTTGACGGTGAAGCTGAAACTGACGGACAGCAAATAGACAAAGAGCTGGAACTGGAACTGGCACTGAAACTGGAATTGGAATATGTAGACGATATTGGAACTCACCTGCGCATGATGGGCAGCGGCAAGGTGAAGCGTCCATCACTCATCAGCGGTGCGGTGCCCGGCAGCGGCACCGTCGATATAACCGGTGTCATCAGTGGCAGGGGTAGCGGCACGGGCGCCTGCGGCGGCGGCGGCGGTGGCGGTGGCAGTGGCGGTCCGGCTGCCTGGGGCGGGGGCGGGGGCGGTCCGCCGGCGGGCAGGGCACTGTACGGCGGCGGGTAGTGGCTGTGGCTGTGCAGAATGTCCGGCAACAATGCCCGTGCCAGGCCCAAAGTAGCCGGATGCGGATGCGGATGATGCAAGTGGGGCGGTGGATGCAGCGGCGGCGCGTGTTGCCGACGTGCATGGTGAGGGGGCAACTGTTGCTGCTGCTGCAGCTGCAGCTGCTGCTGCTGTTGCTGGCGGCGTTCGCGACGTTCGCGTCGACGTTGCTCGCGTGTGCGCAACTGTTGCTGCTGCTGCTGCTGCTGCTGTGCCTGCAACTGTTGCTGCGAGCAGTTGCCGTTGCTTAGGTCATCCGTTTGGCATTCGGTAGAGGTGAAAGTGCGTGGGGGCGTTGCATTCACATTGATTACTTTGACACTGTTATCAACACTGGACACATTCACATGATTATTAATACAATTATTATTATTATTTATATTATTAATATTATTATTATTATTGTGGCTGATGCTGTTGCTCACACTGGCACTTGCAACATGTTGCACATCCACTTGCGTATTTTGATTATTATTTATATTATTATTTAACTTATTTTGTACACTTGCACTAAACACTTTGGTTGCTGGCACACAATTATTAATTGCAACAATGCTGCTCTTGTTGTTGTTGTTGTTGCTGTTGCTGCTGTTGTTGTTGTTGTTGTTGGGGGTGTTGCTGTTGCTGTAATTGCAATTTACAACACAAACGACATTGTTGTTGTCTTGCGTTGCAGTTGCACTTGCAGTTGTTGTTGTTGTTGTTGTTGTTACTGTGGCTGTGCTTGCGGGCGAGGCGACACAAACCTGCTGATTACCGTTATTAGTACCGTTATTGTTGCTGCTGCTGCTGCTGCTGCTGCTGCCGTTGTTCACTTGTATCGTCAGACTTGGCTGACGCTGACAGGACTTTGCTGCCGCGGGCAATATTGCAATGTTGCTGATGCTTTTGGCATTGTTGCTGCTGTCCCTGTCCGTCTTGTTGCTGCTGAGAAAAATGCTGCTGCTGCTGCTGCTGCCAACTGCTGTTGCAGTTTGTGTTGCTGCCGTTGCTGTTGGCGGCGGCGTCGGCTCTGCAGCCACATTCAGACGCATCGTATCGCTATCGTTATCGATATCGTTATCGTTTGGCGCCTGGCTCAGGCGATGCTCGAAGAGACTTTCACTCGCGCGAAATTCGGCATACAAGCGTTCGAGTTCTGCCAAACATTTGTTGGGCCGCAGCACGTCGCTGCTGCTGCTACTGCTGCTACACGAGTTGTTGTTGTTGTAGCGCCCCCGCGACAACCACGACGTCAATGTTTGAATGTTGTTGTTGTTGTTGTTGTTATTCGTATTGTAACTGCCGATTTTACGCACATCTGTTGTGTACGCGCCGAACGTACTGGAGAGACTGATCGCTGCCGAGCGAAACTTGCTTGAACCACCACTAAACGGTGACGCCGACGTCGCTGCTGCTGCTCTCTCAGCTGCTGACGCGTGCTCTCTTCGACTGCGACTGCGACTGAGAGTTAGATTGGGTGCTGCTGCTGCTGCTGCACAGGAAACAGGTTGATTGACCTGCACTCCAGCTGCGACTGCGACTTCGGCTTCGACTGCGACTGCGACTGCATTTGCGCCTGTTTCCTCGTTTGCTCTGGTTGTTGTTGTTGCTGCTGCTGCAGTTTTCGTTGTTGCCATTTCTTGCTCATCGTCAACGTCATTGCCTTTGTCGCTGTCTTCTTTGTCGCCGTTTTCATTGATAATGCAATTCGCTCTGCTGCTGTCGCTTTGATTTTCTGCACTTTGTTGTGATCTTGCATTCGTCTCTGTTGGCTTTTGCTTTTGACTTGTTACCGTTGTTGCCGTTTCTGTGTCGTTTATCGCTGGCGTGTATAATGCGCAGTTCTGCAAGAGCCACAAAGAGATAGAGAGAGCAAGGGAGCGAGAGAAAACGTCAGCTTTGCATTAGTCAAATGACAAGATTTAAGTTTCAAGCGCTAATTAATGTTAATTGCTGGGAGATTAGACAGTGGCCAAAAAAAAAAAAAGGTGACAGCGGCCACACAGGGCCAAGTAAGGACGTCGACTGGCAGGCAACCAGCAGGCGCATAAATGTGCGCCTAATTGAATTAATTAAGCCAACGCATAAACATAAAATCGTCACAAGTTGTTGTTGTTGCTGTTGCTGCTGCTGCTATTCCTGCCTGGCGTCTGCATGTTTGCTGATAAAGTTATTGCTGTTGTTGTTGAGGCTGCATGACTTACTCTCACTCTGACGCTCGCCCGCTCAATCCCTCTCTCATACTAATGTGCACACAGACATCAGGCTTAGCATTAGAGATGAGCGCCTGGCGTGCCTTTTGGCGTGACATATCGAGCTCGAAAATGCCTTCACTTTGGTTTACATATTAAAAGCTCTGCTCTGCTGCTTTTTATGGCAATATATATAAATATTATATATCAGTCGCTCATCTCTAATCAGTGCACAGTACCGACCCTCCCCTTTAGACCATATAACTGTTAGTGCCTGCCTGTGCGTGTGTGTGTGGGTTCTAATTATGTTACGCTGTGTTACTTGCATTAATTACGTCACAGAAATATAATGTGATTTACTGTTAGCTCTATTGCTGCTGCTGCTGCTGCTGCTGACTTATTGTTCTTGGTGTTGCTGCTGGCTGTGTCATTGTTGCTGTTGTTTTTGTTGTTGTTGTTGCTTTGCTGTTCATTCTTGTGCAATAGAGATTGCTGCTAGTTGCAATCAACACAGAGACCGCCCGCCCCAAAAATGACCCCAAACTCCAATCTAACGGTCTCTGACTGCAAGCCAACTTCATAATACATAAATGTTTTGTCATGTTTTCTTTTTTTTTTTTTGTCCACATGGGTAATTTTAGAGGTTATGTGGGGCATTATGTTATAATTATGTGGCACAGTCATCGTCATAGGCTAAAGCCCCAAGGGTTTAATTAATGTTTTCTGCTCTCAGAACCGGTCTTAAAGTAGTCAGTTCTTTTTTTAAGTGTTGCAAATCGCAAACAAAGCGAGTATAGAAATGGACTACCCCTTGGCTTCTGCATTGTCCGTCGATTACAACCCCTAAATAACTACCTCTAACTATCCTGTCAATTATGGCGGCAACCCTGCACTACACATCGAATATTGCAAGGGGGCATATGGCACACAATACACTCAGCGAAAAGGTTTAAACTAAGAATTTGCATACTCTCTCCTAATTACAGAATTTCAGATTTGAGAAATATATTTTTAATAAGATTTTTGCGTAGGGAATAAGTTTTTCTGATACAATTTATTATATATATATTTCGGTATGCTTTTCTCTGAGTGCATATAAGCTATATAATTTACTTAAATACGTTCACAGTTTTTCGCTTTGTTCTCTGTTCATTGCTTTGTGGTCAATTTTCCATTTCGCTGACGCAACAACGTAAACAACAACAACAAATTATGATAGGAGTCGAGAGATATAAATTTTAAATGCATATTTACGAGTCTATTGTAGACGCTCGTCCCACTGGCAACATAACGGAGCGACCCGCACGCAACGCACAGCCCGCACTCTACGCCCCCGCACCCCTCACTCCTCCCTACACCCTCTCTGCAACCGATATCGATACCAATTACGCTGGCAATGTCGATGCTGATGCTAGGCGACATCTGGAGCTCTCTTATCGAAGTCGCGGGGCGGCGGCACTCAAGGGCCTAAGTGAAACATTAGCTCTTATCGGAGCGCAGTAGCTGTCAATGGGGGGTCGATAATGGAGACCCCCCACCGCACCCCTCCACCATTCACTCACATCAGCCTTGACATCAAATTTGATGGCGCCACATTTGGAGTCCAAGTGCGTGGAGTGCGAGGGCTATTGCGCCACCAAGGTGACAATTTTATGAGGCGCCGCGCAGACACCAGCGCTGTGTACATATATATATGCTATGTACATAAATCGATAATACAGATAATACCCATTATTATAGGGTGTAGCGGAAAGAACAGTTAAATGACCCTGATTTGATTCAAATAACAACTGACAATGAGGATCCGGGTTCGAGGCCCTAATGCGTAAAAGAATAACATGAAAAAAGACCCTTAGAAATGTTTTTTTCTTATGTTTTTCTTATGTTTATCTTCCCATTGATTGACTAAAGATGCCTAATAATATAGATGATAAGGGGATAGGGGATATATAAGAACAATTTGGAGGCTTGTAATTGCAGATACCTTGAAAAATTGTACCCATAATTCAATCGATTCTTCTCTATGCCGTATGTAAAAATTCGTAAATGCCAGGGAGGCTCTTCGTAACAGAAGTTAATTCTTAGTCGAGCATCTATATGATATAGTGGTCCGATCTAACCGAAATAAATAATACAGAAAGCCTTGAAAACTGTTGCTTAGCAACAGACGGACAAGCACGGACATATATTCAAGATCAGCAATATATATCTGTATATACACTTCATGAGGTCGAAGTTGTCTCCTGCTTTGCTTGAATTTCTTGCGTAATTCCTTTTCATTATATAAGCTTCCCGTTTTTCTCTGCCCCTCCACAAACATTTATCGATATGTATCGAAAGCAACCTTTACTTACCTGCGATATATAATCGTCTGTGAAGGAGCGCACCAAACGCTCAGCGGGAACATTTGCCGTTAGTTTGGGTTGATCATCATCATTATCATCATTGTCATCATCATCATCGTCATCGTGTTTAGTTGTTGTTGCTGGGGATCGTTGCGATCTATCACATTGTAGATTGTTCGGCTGGACGGGAGCCAAGCTTGCCCTGGCCGCGCCCACGCCGGAGACGCTCGCCTCGTAGAGGGATTCGTACGAGGGCGGCTCCTTGATGGCCGTGGCCGCCGAGGAACACCATTGGGTGAGTGTGTGCGCCGGACTGCCATAGTAGCTTGGATATGAGTAGCGATTCCGGCTCCGGCTCGTCTTGCCCGCCTCAAAGGCGCAACTAAAACTGGGAAAAGGCACGGGAAGAGCAACGACTCCTGCTGCGGCTGCAGGTGGTGCTATCGGTGTCAGTGGGGTCAGTGGTGCTAAATGGCTCAGGGCAGACCTGCTGCAGCTCCCGCTCGTCTCGTAGCTGCTGTGTGATTTGCGTAGCTTGCGATTGAGCCGCTCATCGTCGTCCTCCTCATCCGAGGAGCTGGCCGTGGGCGTGCTGCGCTCATAGGGCGTCCAGAGCATTGAGGAGAGCGCCGCCTCAACGTCCGGCGGCCGCAGCTGGCGATGATGCGAGGGCGTCTCCGTTGCCCCATGGCTGGGCGTGTTCCGTTCCGACATGGACATGTCTGCTGTCTGGACATCGCTTACAGTTTAGGCTACTTGCGACGGGCGGTGTCTGTTGGCCGCATGCTGAGCCCGAAGCCCCTGCAAGTGATAAAATCAAACGGTATGAGAAAAGTCTAACTGTAAATTGCGAAAAACTTTAACCTAAGCGAATTTCTGACAAATTAAACGCTCAGCCCCAACTTTGTACGGCCGTGCCCTTTTATTTTCCAATTTGATAAATTGCGATTAAAGCATTTAAAAATGCCGAAAAAAAAACAGGAAAATGCATAAAAGAAAAATGAAAACTGTTAAGCAAAACGAAACGAAATACGCCAAAAGACACGAAACATGGAAAACAAGCTTCCGTTTTGTGGCCAAAATATATGCAGAAAAGTTTGCGACGCAAAACTTTTTGGCAGCCTCTCTAGGCCCGTGGGCGATGCCCCTAACCCCGCATCGTCCCCCGCTCCCTTTCCCAACAAAAAAAACTTTGCCACACACACACACACACACACACACACACACATACGTAAATAGTTGGTATATAGGCTGCGTCTCATTCGGTTATTCGCATTAGAGAGAGAAACTCTTTCAGCCAAGTTTAAAGTTGACTGCCAATTTCTGGATACTGAATTGGGTATTCTAGCCCAGGCTGGCTGCGTGCTGGATTCTTTGGTCCCGGTGGGAGGAGGAGGAGGTGGGCGAAAAACTGGCACAGAAAATGGCTTAACAGCCATCGGACTAAACGGGCAGACATTGAAACGGAAATGGTTGCCCATAGACGTCACTTGAAGCCATTGGGTGCCGTTCCAGCTGCTCTTCTAGCTCCGATTGTTGTCCTTGTTGTTGCCTGCCATTCATGCAGCAGCAGCAGCAGCGGCAGCAACAGCAGCAGCAACGGCAGTTACTGCAGCAACAGTAATAGCAGAGGCGGCAGCAACATTCACTGCACAACGTTTATGCGGCGCATTTCATGATCATTTTTGAAGCACAGCTCGAAAAACCCGACCTAGCTGGTTAGATTCATTTCAGCGATACGAATTTTTGAATAACACGAAAAATACATATAAAAATGTTAAATATTTTTCCGTCAAAAAGTGTTTAAGAGATGCTCAACAAATATTAAAAATAAATGAATAAAAAAAAGTTTGTAGATTTAAATTTAGGATGTGTCAATATTGTTCTTTCTGTCTCTCTCTCTCTTTATATTTTATGCTTCACTCTTCATCACAGTCTTTCTCTCTCTTTCTATTTCACTTTCCGTCTTTAAATCTCTCTCTCTCTCTCTCTATCTCTCTCTCTCTCTCTATCTCTCTCTCTCTCTCTCTCTCTCTATCTCTATCTCTATCTCTATCTATCTCTATCTCTATCTCTATCTCACTTCATTCTCTCTCTTGTTATCTATGTCCCTCACTCTCTCTCTCTCTCTCTCTCTCTCTCTCTCTCTCTCTCTCTCTTTCTCTCTCTTTCTCTCACTTTATGTCCCTCTCTCTATCTAGCTGTCACCCACTCTCTTTCATTCTATTTAACTGTATCTCTCTATCTTTCTCTCCCTCTTTTCACTCTCGCTAATTCCCTATTTTCCCTCTCGCGTTCTGTCTATCTATTTCGCTCTCTATCTCTTTATTTTCGTCTCTTTCTCTTTGTCTCTCAATTTCACTTTTACTTCATCTCTCTTTATTTGACTATCTTTGTATTCCTCTATTTCTTTCTCTCTCTCGGTCTCTAGCTCGCTAGTTTATTCTATCTCTGTTTTCTCCCTCAAAAAACGTTAATATTTAAACTTGGACCGGGCAAAGCCGGGTAACAACTGCTTATTAATTATTAAAAACTTGTGGCAATACATAAAATCCTCAAATTTTAAAAGTCCAAGTCCCAAACAAGGCAACATTTCATTTAAATTAGATTCCTCAAATTGACAACTAACATTTTAAGTCCATTTTACTTTTAAGTCCAGGAAAGTTTATATATTAAAACCTCATTCAAAAAAAGTTGTTATCTAAGCACAAAGTCTGAAAGTTAAAAGAAAATGTAAGACTAAAAGTAAGAGTCTCTATACTCTATGCCAAGTGGAAGCCACATTGGCGTGCCATATAAAGATAATTAGCGCATCAGGATAATGTGATTGAACTTTCCGAAAGATTAAGTTCCCGGCACTTATCATGTGAAGGGCCAGCGTGAAAACCTGGCTCTTGGCCGAGGCTCTGGGACTAAAGTTTTATGTGTTGCATATCCTGAGGCGCTTTGCTGCTCTAATTTATTTATTTTTTTTTTCACTTCCGCAGTTTTTTGTGCTTCTTGGTATTTGGAGTTTGCCGCCATTGAGGCCGATGTTTTTGTTATGCTTAAATAAAGATTTGTGTTAGTGTGTTTTATTCTGTTTCTGTGGTTCGGCAATTGTTGCTCTTGTTGTTGCAATTGTTATCGTTGTTGCTGTTGTTGTTGCTCACCAAGTTTATGTGCATTGCTGGCCTTCATTGTTGTCATTGCCATTGTTGTCGGTTGGCCAAAATGAAGAAAGGCGCCCAGCGAAAGGCAGCACAAAAGACGGCCCCACGTTCAAAGCCAGCACACAAATTAATATGTGCAACAATTGTGTGTGTGTGTGTTTGAGTGTGTGTGTGTGTGTGTGTGTGTTTGAGTGTGTGTATAAGACTTGTTATATGCATGTTACCTACTTTTGTGAGCTTTTAATTAACAACAAGTTTGCGCCTCGCACAATGCAAACAAAGTGTCGAAAGCCTTGAAATTTTCACAATTTTCCATGCGGCATTTTCTTTGTGCCATTTATAGCAGCAAATGCGAAAACTTATGGAAAAAAAAAACGTAATCTTATATATTGCAATAGCAAATAATGCCCGGCATTGCCTGGGTTTTAGTTGAAGCTTAAGACATGCGCGCCTGGGATTGATTATTTTAATTTATTTAATTAACTTGGGGATTAGATTGGGTTTGACGTAAATTAAATGAAGAACAAACTTGGATTATGCCCACACTCAGAGAAAAGATAAGCCAAAAGAAAACTTAGTGGAAAAGTTGTCTGAATAGAATTGAGCTCGAAATTTCTTAAGCTGAGAACTAAAATTTCTGATTATTTATATTTTTAATTCATTTAATTAGCTGATGCAATTATTATTAAGAATTAACTTGGATTATGCCATGAAGGAAACTAAGTAATTAGAAACGCTGTCAAAATCGAAACAAGCTCGAAATAACTTACAATAAGAATTAAAATGAATATTAATATCTTTGCTTATGCCGAAAGTATCAAAATATAAAGTCAAAAACATAAATATAGTACTGAGAGAAAAGACCTAGAGCTTTGTGGTAAAATACGGCCAAGTTTAAAGTTTCTTAAACCAAGCATAAAGTGCTTAATTGCAGAAGTCTCTCTTAAAAGACGCTTTAGTTCTAAGCACTTTATTCAAGAAACTGTTTTCTTTGAGAGAGTTATATATTAGTTTATGACTCGTATGTCGAACTTAAACCAAGCTCTTTTATGCTTCATTCAAGAGTTCAAAAACATAATGAATTTTATGCATGTTACTCAAGCAATTCGCTGAGTGTCTTGTAAATATTTAAACAAGAAGTGGCCCAAATTACATGAAGCCACGTTGGCTTTTATTTAAGGGAAGCATATCGTTCTTTAGAAATAGAACACTCCCGACTCCATCATATTCAGGTGCTCACAATTCACGGGGCTGTCAGAAAGATTTCAGCGCATTTTAAAGAAAATTCCATAAAAGATTTTCTTCAACAAGCGCCGCAATTTGGCGCGGAAAACAGCTACGAGCGAAATTAATGCTGTAAATCATAAAAGCAAATAAATAGAAAAAAGAAAAAGTCGGAAAAATAAAAAGCAAATCAAATACAACAAATATTTCGAGGCAAAGTTCTGGCACAGGAAAACTGTCTGGAGAAAAACTCCACGTGCTGTGCAAATGTCACGCAAATGAGCAAAAAAAAAAAAAATTGTGTAGCTGCTGCGCGGAAAATTCAATTATTTACGTAAATATATTTTACTGAGCGCAAGCATTTTTGCATTATATATATATTTTTTTTTTATTTTCTATTTCTATTTGTATTTTATCTTTTTTATATTTATTTATTTGACTAGACGTGCGTTTGTCAATCGGACGGGGGCGACGGCCGTGTCCAGGGCTCAAACTTTTTTCCGCTCGGGAATTCAGCTATGGGAAAAGTTGTTGCCAGGCGTTGCCATTGACAGCGTTTGTGCCACATTCAGCTGGCAAATTGCTGCCAGTATGTTTGTAATGCAAACAAACTTTATCTAATTAAAGGAACACGTGTTCCACCCACGACGCTGGGATGCCCTATGCTCCAGCTGCTCCCGCTTGAACGACATCTTCAACGTCATCTCCATCTCCATCTCCATCTCCATCTCCATCTACATCTCCATCTCGACATCTTCATCTTGTGAGCTGCTTTGCATTGATGACGCCCTCGAAATGCCTTTTGATGTCCTTCCCCAACTGCTGCCGTTGCTGCCGCTCCTGCTCCTTATTTTGCATTTGCCAACTCGACATATTCACAGTACGAGTTCCTGTTCCTGTTTCCTCTGTGCCAAAGTGCTTTGCCCTGCCCTCTAGGCCTGTCATCTATCCTAACTCAATCGTGAGCTCTCTAGTCGCCCGTCAATAGCTGTCAAGTCGGAGCGTCTGCGTCTGGTTTGGGTTCTGAGATCTGTGAGTGTCGCGTGTCGAGTGCCTTTTGAGTTGTTTGTCAATATGTAGACCATTATTCAATCAATATATTGACACACATTTCGTTTCGCCATCCCACCCCCTCTGCCTCGTGCCTTGTGCCTCAAGGCAGCCAAGTGACGCTCTCCCCAGCCCCGCCGCAAAAGCCGGCCAAGTGCTAATCGCAAACAAAGTAGTTTTTGCTTGAGTTCCATTTCGATTTCGTTCTTTATTTTTACCACCCCTCCCACTCCACTAGCTGAGCTCGACCCCAATTTTATGGCTCGGGGCTGTCTTCGATTGATTCCTTCAATGCTTTGACACACTTCCATATGGCGGCTGTCGGGCCCCAGGGACCTTCATTTCCGCTTAACTATTGTGCGTGGCGTCTAGGCCGAGTGCCATTTGCCTGCCCCGCCCACCGACCACCTCAGCCCAACCTTTAAATTGAATTTGTAGCCCTCTTTTATTTCCATCTTTCCTTTTACTTTACTTTTATTTTATTTTGTTCCGTACTTTGCCGTTTCGTGTGTTTTTTTAATTTAATTCCATGCTTTTTGCTTGAACCACTTGAAAACTTTTTATTTTTTTTTTTGGTGTAACTAAGCGCAAGGCCGTGGAAATGTGGGCAACGCTTTTCGAGCCAGAACTCAATCGAAAAATCAACATTGGCCAAAAGCACGGCCATCAGTCATCAGCTAAAAGCGTTTAAGCCATTTAGACTTTGTTTACTTGCGGCAAGATCATCTCAGTTAACGTTCTGCCTCTGACAGATGCCTGGAAATAGACTCTGCTGACAGATTTTAACCCAGACCAAGGATTAGTCTAAACAATTATACTTGGGGGTGTCACGGATCAAATGCGCCTAGCAGCACAACTATTTATTTTAAAAAATATACATATATATCGCTTCCGGTCGACTGTTCCTATGTAAATATATAGTTGTCTCTTTTTGATAAGAACTATAAATGCTCGTGACTGTTGAGTTGTTTATCGACAGCTTGGATAATAGAGGAGATATTCGATAGAAAACTAAAATTTGAACCGATAACTCCTATGGTTAATATATGATATAGTAGAAAGATATTGATAGGATTTTGTGCTAATTTGAAGAGCAGCCTTTTATTGCCAAGTTTCATCATGAATTTTTCGAGCAGCAAACAAGTTTTTCATACAAAAACTCCTTTTACCTCAGATATCTCCTGTAGCAATATCACTTCGGTCCAATAGATTGATACCTATTTATAAAATTCTTAGAGCTGAGCGACGAACCTAAGCCCGGTTTTTATCAACAAAGCTTTATGCTCTAGTTTGCATAGAAACACATAAAGGAAAGTCAAATGCACCCAAATCGAAAATATATATATATATATATTAATTTTTTTGAAATACTTTGACTATCATAAACCAGGTTATAAAACCGAAAGCTAATTATTTGAAGTCGCAAAAGTTTCTGTATAAGTCTTAGAATAAATCCAACAAGTACTCCAAGTGAAAATACAATTAAAATTTAAATTTAAACGATTTAAAAATTTGTGATTCATGCAATATGATAGCAGAGCAAGCGCCCAAATAGGAAAATATATTGAGTTATAGAAAAACATGTGTGTCGGATTTCTAAGCAGCTGGACACTAAGCCTTCAGCTTAACGCAATATTCAATTAAACTTTTGCCAGTTGCCGGCTTTTTTTGGGGCAAAATCTGTCGGCTTCAATTAACTAACTATATAAACAAGCTGCCAAGCTGGCCAAAGGTGGCAAAAGGTGGCCAGCGGAAAGACAGTTAAGTGCTGTTGCTGCAGCTTGCCCCCGGCCACAGCTCAATTAAACTTACCTCAAAATGCAGTCCAGGCCGGCAAAGGACTTTAAGTCTCGCGAGAGCTTGCAGCAGCAAAAAAAAAACCAAAAAAAAAAACTTTGTTTTGTTTTGTATTCTTTTCCTTTGGTGGCCGCTGCTGCTGCTAACTTTCACTCACTGCCGCAGTTGCCGTGTGGCAGCTGCAGTTGCAGTCTTAATTATGCTAAAAGCAGGCAACAAAAACTGATTATTTACACGGTACGCGGTCTAGCGTGCTGTCAATGTCAAAGCCATTACGTGTGGCAAGTGGCAAGCCGATACACACACACACACACTTTCTCTCCTACACGCACAACAAGTTGATAATATTTGGCTTACGCGACGTATGCGTAATCTCACGCGTTTAACGCATAAATTTGTGGCAGGAAGCGATTTCGCAAAAAATCATATTTAGCTGGGCTTGACAAATTGCGGCACGTGGTAGCTGCTGCAGCGACGCGTACGAACTGACTGCCAAAGCTGGCCAAACAGAATGCGAACTTGACTTTAATGGAAAGCCGAAAAACAGAATTCAACAGAACCGACGCACATTTTGGTGAGTCGGCGCATTGTGTTGCACGTGCAACGACAGCGCCTTCCAGTCACCGACTTCATGTGTGTGTGTGTGTGTGTGTGTGTGTTCGTGTGTCTGCGTGTGTGTTGGTGTGTGGCCAAATGTTTGTTTACATTTTGCACAGCAGCAGCAGCAGAATGTGGCAGCAGCAGCATGTGGCAGCCGCATCTGGCAAGTCGTGTGCTGGCCATCCATTTTTGTTTTGCCTACTTTCGAGCGGGCAAATGTGAATTATGACTTTGCAATCTATGTGCAACTTTTGTGAGCTGCCTATCGAAATGCCTAAGACTCGACATCAATTCGACTTTCAGTTGGGCTTAAAGACGAGCTCAGCCGAGGCCCACATTTGTGGATGCTGATGTGCTACGGCTGCAGCTGTCTGTCTGCAGTTTAGCTGCAAAATTGAGCAACAAGCTTGTTAAAAATACGTGCAGAATATTAAACAGAGACCGCAAAGCACACACACACAAACACCCACACAGATGCTGCTGCTGCTGCTGCAACTTGAACATGCCACAACGCCTCATACATATTTATAGAGTTCTTAGGGCTCGACTGATGCCATGAATATTCTCACTAATTTGCTGCCAATTGAATTTGACTTTGCATATTGTTTAACTCAGTTTTGAACCGCATGCCTGAACCGGTTCACAAGTGGTTTACCTCAGTACTTGAGCCAAGTGACTAAATCGAAATCAAATCTGGTTTGGTTTCCATTAAAACCTCTTGGCAAACATCGCATCACAAATAATTCAGCTTTAACCAGTCTTAAACCCCTTTTAAAACCCAGTCTTAAGCCCCTGCTTTAAAATAATATGCACCAATGAGAACACAATCCAAGTACTAATTGTAGTATTTCATAGGTAGACAATTTTACAATTGTCACACAGCTTGAACTAATTAAGATGCAATGAAGAAAATATAAATTAATATTTCAAACTGTTTTAAACCCATTTTAAAGCCGCATGCAAACAATTACAAAAACAAGTATTTACGGCACATGTACACTATTACAATATTACACTATCATTATTATTAAATATATTTTCCTAGTCAGTGAATAGATTCAAACAATTCAGATTCTATTTAATAGTTAATACTTATTTATGGCGTATCAAAAATGTTTAAAACCTGTTTCAAACCACCTTTGATTATAGCTTTGCAACGATTACAATACAAGTTTGTAAGCTCTAATTGTAAAATTCCATATTCCATTAACAGATTGAACTTACATAGATTCAACGGGAACTATATAAATAAATGTCCAAAACCCGCTTCAAAGCTCAGCCAAGCAGCTACAAGAAATTCCGATTTTATTGTAAAAAAGTGTTTTAAATCTTCTTTAAACCACTTTTTTACTACTGATTTTCAGCAGTCATATAACGAGTATTTAATTAAATTGTTATGTATCCTTAAGCGTTATAGTTAAGGACATTTTCTTTATCAGAAGTAATTTAAAGCAGTTCTGCTTTATTATTAAAGCAAACTTGTAGTCTTTTCTTATATTTTAAAGCCCATTTGAAGCCCATTTCAAAGCGCTATTCAAGTATTTGAGTTCTATTTATGGTTACATTTTCAACATCTAAGTAAATTTTCTTGAACAAATATGTAAAAGGATTTCAGTTTAACTACTAAAACAAATTTGTATTCTTTTCAAAACCCTTTGAAATTTGTTTTATGCCCATTTCAAACTGCTTTTCAATAGTCGCATTCCGCTTATTTAGGCTTTGTTGAATGTTGCGAGATTAAGTTGAGTAGATTTTCTATTTAAAACTACTTTAATTCCTTGACCACTTAACACATTATCTTACACACACACATATATATATATATATATATATATATATACGTACACCTTGTACACTTTCATTGCAGTTGTTAAACAAATTGAAGTCGGCATAGCAAATTTTTATTGGCAAAACTTTTTTAATTATCATTAATGAACATGAAGTGCGCGCTGTGTGGCATGTGCTGACCGAGGAGCCAGCAGCAACAACAACAACAACAACAAACAACTGCAACAACGACAACTTTCGCATTGCAATTATTTTAATGTTCAATGATGTTGCAGCTTGGCAGCCATCGCAATGATTTATTGCCTGGCAGCTCGCTGAAGTTCCCAGTTTGAGTTTGGCTTTGAATTGAGTTTTAGGTTTCAGTACGGATACGAGTTCGAGTTCGAGTTTGGGCTCGGTCTCGGTCTCGGTCTCGGTCTCAGTCTCGGCCCAGGCGTCTTATGCCCAGGCGCACGCCATTCATTGTGTGAAAGTTGGCAGCACTGGCAATTAGACAGTGTCGGGGTCAGAGGCGGCGGGCTAGAGGCCAGGCAGATAGTCCATGAAACGGCGTTTATGTCTAATGCATTATAATGGCCATGCCACAGAGAAGTGCTTACGTTCAAGTTTTATGGGCTTGGCGTGAGGGATTTGCTGCTGCTTTTCGAGTTCATAAATGTGGCGAAATTGCAATTAGTAAACTGATTGAAAGTTTTGACTGTCTGAGGCAATACCTGACAATAAGCATTCGATTAAAGAAATGTGCGGATATCAATATGGGCTAACATACTTTAAGGGACTATAAATTATGCGAGCACAGCAATTTTCCATGATTTATGCCTGCTACAAAACAATTTGCGGCACGAACCACACGCCCCAAACTACGAATAGGCAATTGTAATGCATAAAACACATCGATATCATATCATTTTAATATATGTATACAGAGAGAGGCCTAAGCGCAGGGCAAACAGGCACGCATGAATACCTACACGAAAGACACACACGCACACCCTATCTATAAAGGCCACACAATTGCACTGCACTTGCCGCAAAAAAAAACCCATTTTCCATTTCGTTTTTGCAACCCCGTACTTGTGATAGAACCAGAAACAGGCCGAGAACCCAAACCCCAAAAAAGTAGACGGCGCCCGAGCAGGGACCTGGCAAACAGGACCCAGAGCATTTATGACATATGCGCGCAGAACTGAGGCGGCGGCGGCGGCAGGGGCGTGGCAGGACGGTGGCACGCGTTTTCTAGCAGCAGCAGCTAAAAAAAAAAAGAGTATTTTATTTTATTTTTTTGGTTTTAAGCGATTTCGCTTGCGTGTGGCAACCACAACGCGGCGACGGCAACAGCCGCTACAGGCCAGGCTTCGGGCCATGTTTTCGCCTTTGTTGCCACATTGCCCCACGTAAATGACTGTATCTGAATTCGCAGCTACGCAACCCCACACACACACACGCACACAGAGTACCAGCTACATATATGTTCACCTTCAGCCTCTTTTATGGTGCTTGCAGCGCGAAGGTAAATGGCGCGACGGCAGCCGTAAAATTTGGGGGCGGGCTGGGCGGCAGAAAATGAAAGCCAAGAATTGCAATAAAACATAAAATTGCTGACTTCCAATTCGTTTGCCATTTGGGTTTCGGTTTCCCTTTTTTTTTTTTGTTGTTGCTGCTTTGCCCGTGTTTTTCCTTGAGTTTTGCTCAAATGTCTGGGGCATTGTATGGGAGTGTATGTGTGTGTGTGTGTGTGTTAGTGTGTGTGCGGTGTTGTGCGTGCTGCTGTCGGCTGTGTCAGGGCCAAGCTGCGACCGCGTTTCTTTTTTATATTTTATTAGGTTTTATTTGATTTACACTTGTTTTCCGCCTGCGAGCTGCTAGTAAGTGTGAGTATGTGTGTGTGTGTGTGTGTGTGTGTGTTGGGGGCGTGTCATGTTGGGCGTAAGTGAGCACTTGCTGGCAATCTATGTGAGCAAGTGCAGCGCTTTGTCATCTCAACGGGCGACTGCAAAATCACTTGACTTTGATCTATGCAATGCAGAAAGTGGAAGAAGAAGAACTTTGATTTCAAGAAAAGTTGTCAGCTATATTCAATTTAATCATTTTCGTTTGATTAAGTGTTGTTCAACGCCTTGCAGACACAACCAGTGTTCAAAGGTTTTAAAGCGTGCAAGCGTCAGTTTTATAAAAATTACACAGCAAAAAATTGCGCTTAAATTCTTAGCAGAACTTTTATCAAACTGTGCATCTCAGCTGAAGCGCAGAACAATTACTTTTCCATTTGATTAACATACTATATGAGTACTTGCATACCAAGTTTTAGCTAAGCAGCTTTAATAATCCTCGAGTTATGCCTAAATTTCTTTAAGTCGACAATTAACGATGCTATGAAAATGGTAGGAGATATTGACATAACTATCATAGACTCTTTTGACCAATGGTGTAGGATAATATATATATAGGTTTATGTTTTTTTTTAATTTGAACATTTTTACACATTTTCAAAGAATTCAGGGTACAAAAACTATGATATGATAGGATGAAATATAGGACTCGAACTGGTTGTGTTTCTGTTCCACTACACTCTCACTCTAAGACTGAATAGGAAGTTAAAATCTTTAGTGCGCTGAGAGAGGGAGAGAAAAAGGGGAAGAGAGAGAGAGATAGTTCGAGTTCTATATTTTATCATATTATATCAATAGCGGGAGCATTCAAATGGAGATAAGGGCCAAATTGTGAGCCGAGTTATTGTTCACTTTCCAATTCCGATTCAATTCCGAACATTTCTTAAATTTAAAGCCATACAAATCCTTTATGCTTTTATACTGTGTAATAACCTGACGCTTGTGCGAAGACTTTACGATCCATTTGCAGTTTTCCACAGCCAGAATTAAATGCAGTTCGCTGCGCAAAGCTAAAGTACAATTAATTAAGCACCGACTGCAGGAGGGCAAAGGATTTTAATTAAAATTTTGTCGAAGCAGCACAAGTGTCTATCTTTCTCGCACTCTCTCTCTCTCTCTCTCTCTCTCTCTCTCTCTCTGTCTCTCTCGCTCACTCTCGCCAGCTGCTGCACTCTCGTTTCATTATTTCATTTTATGCCT